CACTGAATTTGAATTTTCTTAATTATAAGTTGTGTGTGCACCAAGTCTATCTTACCGAGGGGTTGTAAGGCTCAAGTGCAAGTTAATGTGTTGAGGCATGTGTTCTCTGTGATCCCAAAACTCCCACTGAAATAGCCCAGGGCTCATAGCCTTCATTTCTTTCCAATTCCTTTTCACCCTCACAGTCAGCCTCACCCTTGTCGAGACATGGACATCAGACATGGGGCTAAGTAGGAGTGCTGGCAGTTGGAGCTGCCTTTGACTGAGTAGAGAAAAAACCTGCTGGGCCTTGTTCCCCAGTACACCATCCAGAATGATTTGGCCTTTCTTTGCACTGTGGATAAGGCAAAAGGAATAAAAGTTGATGTTCTTGCTATTTAGCATTTGGCTTTCTGAATAAGGTTTTGCCATCTTGCTCTGGAGTATAAACAGCCATAACCTGCCATCCAAGATGGCAGAGGGCCCTCCAAAACACTTAAAGGGAAGCCAAAATTGATTTCCCTGAATTCTCTCCTTAGAGTTATGCTGCTTTACCATATCTGATGATTTGTCATGCTATTAAAACCGTGCCAGAACTCGAAAGGCTCCAAAGAACACAACAGATGCTTTGGTGCTTTCAACTAAAAAAAGTTAGTCCTGATAGTGGAAAATTCAACTCAAAAAGTTGGAACTCAAAAGGGAGTTATGTTTTTCTGGAATTTGCTTTCACTTTTTAGTCCAACAGCAGAAAGGCACTGAAGCCCAGCTGCCCAGATGAGGTACTTGAGATACCACCTGATTCTGTATCTGCTGTTTAGTCTATATCTCGTAACGTCCTAAACTTGTATACATGTTGGCTTCCCTTCTTATAAATCAAAGACAATATTCTAAATATCTCATGTAGAAATAAATCATGTGATGGCTTTATTTGCTTTTAAGTAATATATTAGTTAATAAACTAGATGGCTCTTCCATAATAAATAGCAGGAAACTCTAAATTTCAGGGATAATGAGCAGTCTGATGAGAGCTCATTGATCCTATTGTGTGGATGGGAGTGCACCGACCTGTGTTTGTGAAAACTGTCTAAAAATATCCTATGTCTGAGATTTTGTTGCCTTTGGATTCCTCCAGTATTTTTTGTGGTTTCCCGTCTTAAGTCCTTTATCCAGTTTGAGTTTATTTTTGTGTATGGTGTAAGTTGATGGTCTAGTTTCATTTTTTTGCATGTATCTGTCCAATTTTCCCAACACCATTTATTGAAGAGACTGTCTTGACTCCATTGTCAAATATTAATTGAGCATATTGGTTCGAGTCAATTTCTGGGTTCTCTATTCTATTTCATTGATCTATGTCTGTTCTTGTGCCAGTACCAGGCAGTTTTGAGAGGAATCCAAAGGCAACAAAATCTCAGACATATGCCGAAGCAATTTCTTCACCGATACAGTTCCTAGGGCATTGGAAACTAAAGAGAAAATAAACAAATGGGACTACATCAAAATAAAAAGCTTCTGCACAGCAAAAGAAACCATCAACAAAACAACAAGAAAGCCCACTGCATGGGAGAACATATTTTCCAATGTTATCACTGATAAGGGTTTAACCTCCAACATTTACAAAGAACTCATGAAACTTAACAAAAGGAAGATAAACAATCCAATCAAAAAATGGGCAAAGGACCTAAATAGACACTTTTCAAAAGAGGACATTCAGAAAGCCAAGAGACATATGAAAACATGCTCAAAGTCACTAATCATCCGAGAGATGCAAATCAAAACAACAATGAGGTACCAGATCACACCCATCAGAATGGCTATCATCAACAAATCAACAAATGACAAGTACTGGAGAGGATGTGGAGAAAAGGGAACACTCGTGCACTGCTGGTGGGAATGCAGACTAGTGCAGCCACTATGGAAGACAGTATGGAGTTTCCCCAAAAATTTAAAAATGGAACTCCCATTTGACCCAGTGATCCCACTTCTAGGACTATATCCCAAGAAACCAGAAACATCAATCAGAAAGGATATATGCATCCCTATGTTCATAGCAGCACAATTTACCATAGCTAAGATTTGGAAACAGCCTAAGTGCCCATCAGCAGATGAATGGATTAGAAAACTGTGGTACATCTACACAATGGAATACTACGCTGCTGTAAAATGGAAGAAACGCCTACCATTTGCAACAGTATGGATGGAACTGGAGAGCATTATGCTAAGTGAAATAAGCCAGTCAATGAAAGAAAAATACCACATGATCTCACTCATTCATGGATAATAAAGGCCATTATAAACTGATGAACAAAAATAGATACACAGGCAGAGCAGCATCTGACAGACTGTCAAACTACAGCAGGAAGACCAGGGAGGACTGGGGGGAGGGAGGGTAAGAGATCAACTGAAGGACTTGTATGTATGCATATAAGCATAACCAATGGACACAAGACATTGTGGGGTATGGGAAGCCAGGGGAAGGTCAAGGGGGGAAAAAAAGGAGACATATGTAATACTCTTTGTAATACTTTAAGCAATAAAACAATTTTTTTAAAAAATTGTAGTGTATAATAAAAACAATAATAATAATCCTAAAAAAATAAATAAAAATAACCTAGAATCTTTTCCCCCCTTTTTTTTGCTTGACCCAGTGGGTTTCTGCGGCTGCCCAGGCATGGTTGGAACCCCTTGGGTAAAGGAAATGCTTCTCTCTACTTTGCCTTACAGCTAACTTTAATTTACAAATCCCTTGGAAAGAGAGAATGCATTTCTTGATGGAACTTCAAGCCTGTTAACTTGTATTTGATGTGACTGGGTTTTATCCCCAAGGTATGATCAGAAGCCATTATCTTGTATAAAAGGCTAGCTACAGTTTGAGGCCTAGAGTTTCAAGAGTCGATAGACATTAATGCCCCTGGGTGAGCTGAAACCGCCTGATGTATATCATGTGAGTCTCCATGGAAGAAACCATGGAAGAATCATAGAAATTCAGAGTTAGAAAGTATTTCAGAGGTTAAGACACTGAGGCCTAGAAATGTCAGGTGACTCACTGAAATCACACAAGCCCTTTACCAAGATAGATGAGAGAACCAGGCAGCAGAAACTCCCAAGGTAGCTACAAAGACTCTTGTGTGGCCTGACAGAATCTGGTTAGGGTACTGATTCAGCAGAACAAAACTATTTTCTACATTTAAATATGGTTTTAGAACCTCAGCACTTACTGGAACCCAAAATTTTCCCAGACTGTTTCCCACTGAATGAGGGTCAAAGGTATTTCCATCATTATTTTTTGACAGACCTCCAGCTTCTTTGGCAGTGAACAGGTAAACATCTGGTTTGATATTCAATATGTACAGTTCTGGGGAATTCTTTCCTCTGTCTAAAATAATTTTGTTTTCAGCAAAGCTATTTTTTTCCTTGTATCTTACTGTGAGTGGGCAAGAGAGAAACACATTCTTGGGTAAGGAGGGGAAGTTTCCAGATATATCAGGTTAAAAACAGCAGGAAACCCCAAGAACCACTTATGAAGCTAACACTTATGAAGCCAGACTTGAGTGAATTTCCAAGCACTCTCACTGAAAGCTAAACATATCAGAGAAAACATTTCAAAAGCGACCAAAAAGATGAAAAGAAAGAAAACACGTGATTTCACAAGTTTGGGGCTCATGCTTGGCTTGGCTTTATTAAACAAGGAAATGAAATAGAAGTAATGATGTTAGTAGTTGAAGTTTGTGATAATTCCAGGGGTGGGCAAACTTTTTGACTCGAGGGCCACAATGGGTTCTTAAACTGGACTGGAGGGCTGGAACAAAAGCATGGATGGAGTGTTTGTGTGAACTAATATAAATTCGAAGTAAACATCATTACATAAAAGGGTACGGTCTTTTTTTTTTTTAGTTTTATTCATTTCAAATAGGCCGGATGTGGCCCGTGGGCCGTAGTTTGCCCAAGGCTGGATTAGATGCTCAAATCTCAGAGGGAAGGTAGGGGAGGGTGGCGGTAAGGGGAAGAGATCAACCAAAGGACTTGTATGCATGCATATAAGCCTAACCAATGGACACAGACACCAGAGGGGGAGGGTATGAGTGGGGGAGGGGGGACAGTGGGGGGATAAGGACACGTATATAATGCCTTAATCAATAAATAAAGAAAAAAAGTTAATATTTAAACTACTACAATAAACTCTCGATTTTTCGGACCACGATTTAACATACAAAATTTCTGGTCAATATGTCATATGGGAAAATTAACACCCTGTTAATTTTTAAATGCTTTTAACCAAGATTTTCTTATAATCACATTAACAGGTTATTTCTTGTTGTTAACTGTAATCTACATATTTGAATTCAAGAGTCACCATTCATAACCAATGCTCAGTGAATGATAGCACGTGATCACACCGCATCGCAAGTGGCAATCAGTCTGGTCACAGAGCATGACTTCTTTCTTTTTCTTTTTTTTAAATATCTTATTGATTTTTTTTTCAGAGAGGAAGGGAGAGGGATAGAGAGTTAGAAACATCGATGAGAGAGAAACATCGATCAGCTGCCTCCTGCACATCTCCTACTGGGGATGTGCCCGCAACCAAGGTACATGCCCTTGACCGGAATCGAACCTGGGACCCTTGAGTCCGCAGGCCGACGCTCTATCCACTGAGCCAAACCGGTTAGGGCTATGACTTCTCTCTTTCTTTCTTTTTTGAAGTTTCAGTTATTGCTAGTTAAAGGAAAGCAGCCTTTTCCAAGGGCAACACAGTGAACAGAAGGTCAGAAGAAAACAGGATGTGGGCCTCTCATAAACTCATGTTCCGAAACCTGAGTTTGAGGAAAGAGGGCCCTCCTGGGAGCTCAGGGCAACTGGTCAGCAGAGGGATGCTTTGGTGGGATGGAGAAGATCTGCAGCCCACTCTGGTCACTGGATCGGTCTACATGGGCTCTAAGACAATTTCCACTTGCCTGTTGGTTGACATGATTAACACTATTATTATCATTAACTTAAGAAATGATGCATGGAGCGAAGAGAGTGGCTCATTTAGTTGGGTTCTGAATTACAATCAGGAAGTAGTCTTTATCAGGTGTGACCATAATTTCATTTTTCCTGGAGCGGATTTGAAGGAAGGTGAGGTCATTCTGGGGGTCAACTTCACGTGTGATGACCCGTGCCTTCAAGATGAAGCTGTGCATGAGGCTGGCATACGGTGTAGTGGTGGGATTGTCTATGGTGCTCTTAATGGGATTGCCTTCTGTGTTCACCACAATGATTCCCTGCACTCCCTTCTGGCTCTGAGGATGCTTCAGTGTCTCCTCCACCTCTGCCATCTCAGATGGATGGGTTAGCTCTGCGAGGGCGTGACTTGCTGCAGCAGTTATAACTCAAGTCCATGTTCCCATGTGCACTAAGCCATGCCCCAGTCATGTGCATTTGTTTACTCGAGGTGACCTATTCAGGATAAATCTAAAATTATAGTAACACATACAAAAAACTTTTCTGTGAAATTGAACTTTTCACACATATTTAATTTCAATTACACAAACTAATTTGTCAATTTTTTAGCATACACATTTGCAAAACCTACTTTATTATATAACAGACTTCTGGCTTTTACAGACAGTCCCTTGCCCAAATTAGTCCCTTAATTCGAGGTTTTACTGTATTGTGGAAATATTAGGCAACTCTTGCCAAGTCTCTGTCTCCTGATGTAATACCTGCACAACTGTGAGATTATGAGGATTAAATCAGAAGAGTTCCTGGTTATACACTGACAACTTCAAAGTGCTATAAAATAATGATAATAAAGAGAGCTAATATCTATTGCCTACTTTGCTGCTTTAGCAGGCACAGTGCTGGTTGCTGTTCATATAGTTTGTCATTTAATACACGCCACAACCCTAAAAAAGGGTACCATTATTCTATTTTACAACGACAACACAAAATACTACAATAACAACAACTACAATAAATATCCTGGAGACTTGGGAAGGCTAAGTAGTATTTTCTGTTATAAACTGGAAGAACTATATGAAAATAATTTTGATAAATTTTTGAAATAATTTTGATCAAAACCTTTAGGAGAATTTCTCCAGGAAGTAATACCTAAAACCCAGCTTTGGTTTCATTAAACGGACCACTTTACTCTTTTGTAAAATAATTAGGTCCACATTCTAATCTCTAGAACCTGCAAGTATGGTCTTATTTGGAACATAGGTATGTGCAGCTTTAAGATAAGGACCTTGAGATGAGGCCATCCTGAATTATCTCCGCATGTCCTAAATCCAATGAACAGTGTCTTCATAAGAGATTCAGAGAAGAGGAAAAGGCAGTGGGGCCATGAGAGCAGAGATTGGAGTGATGTGGCAACAAGCCGAAGAATTCCTGGAGCCACCAAAAGCTGTAAGAGACAAAGAACAGACCGCCATAGAGCCTTTAGAGAGAGAGTGTAGCCCTGTGGCTTTCCTGCCTCCAGAACAATGAGAAAACACATTTCTGTTGGTGTAAGCCACAAAATGTATGATAATCCATTATGGTAGCCCTAGGAAAATAATACAGAGATCCAGAGAATAGCACTAGAACCAAGTGGCAGAAAGTAAAAGGGCAGACTTTCCAATCACTGAAAATGCTCAAAAGTGCGTGCAAGGGGCTGAATTATGAAATTGCTGGCCTTTGGCAATTGGAGTAGTGGTTTAGGGGTTGAACGGTCAGGAGGGAAATTTCATTGCATGGAATTGGGTGTCTTTTAAGATTCTTTTATACTTTTACTAGCGGCCTGGTGCATGAAATTCATGCATGGAGTGGGGAGGTCCCTCAGCCTGACCTGCACCATCTCCAATCTGGGACCTCTGGGGTATTCCTGACTGCCTCTGGACCACTGGCTCCTAACCGCTTGCCTGCCTGCCTCCCTGATTGCCCCTAACATCTCTACCTGCCTGCCTGATGGCCCCTAACTACCTCTGCCTGCTTAATTGCCCCTTACCACTTCTGCCTGCCTTCCTGATCACCCCTAACTGCTCCTCTGCTGTCCTGATGGCCCCTAACCTCCTCTGCCTCACCCCACACCTGGGATTCAGGCTTCTCTCCCTCTGGCTGGCTGCAGGCACCCAGGACCTAGGCTGGTTTTGCCCAGGTTGATCGACCGCAGCCACAGGCACCTGGGACCATGGGCCTAGCTGGTCCCCATTCCTCTCTCACGAGCTCATTTGTGCCTGGCTGGTCCCCATTTCTTTCTCCCCCACGTAGAGTGTCTGAGCAGTTCCAGCTCGAGGGCTCAAGGGCATGAGGGTGCGAGGACATGAGGGCATGGTGACCATTTGCATATTAGCTCTTTATTATATAGGATTTTATCATATTTACAGATTTCTGGCTATAGTTTTCTAGAATCACTACTCAGAAATGCCCAGATTTTACTCACATTATTGTTCATTATTTCTGGTTGGATTCAGTTAGGCCCAAACAGGAAGATTAGTTTCCAGGCAGGAAGAAGCCAGTGTTGACCATGACTGGAAAATAGACTGGTAATACCCAGCAGAGCTTCATATCTGTGCAACCATCTCTTTGAAGTTGATTTACCTGATGCTTCTCACACTTACAGAGAAACAACTTTCCTACACACAAGTAAAGAAACTGCCTTCTTAATATTACTATAACCTCTTTCTTTGAGCCACTAGCCAGCCTCAGGACTCAATAGTCTCACAATTGCATTGGTCCTAAATAAATGTTTGTTCCCTCCCATATGGTATAGTCACCCTTAATGGTGGTTCTATTTTTCTCTTCTAAGAATTTGATCCCTAGAACTAGGAGTAAATGACTGACATCTATGCTTTGGGGCTCCCTTGCTGACAGGGGCTGCAGGAACTTGGCAGCTAGAAAAGCCCAGAATGGTATTTGGTAAAGAAAATCTCTCAGTTATCATGGCCTAACTAATGAGACTACTCATTTTCCATAGAGATATACTGCTTATCTCCACTAGCGGATTCAACTGATTCTCTCAAGTGACACAAGATGGGCCTGGAAATGACAGCATTTAATCACAAGTTATTCATAGTAAAGATGCCACTGCCCCTTTTTTTAACCTTTTGAACACTTATTTTGCTTCCCTCCTTCCCCCAGGCAACCCTTCAGGTCTTTTATCACAACTAAAAGTCAGAGTTTATGGTCTGAGTGATACTTATGGGGACTCTAGGCAGAATGTTTCAAATAATCCATTAACGAAGGTAGGCCGCACCAGGGCACAGCGTGCTCTCGGGCTCTGAGATTTGGACAAGGCTTTGCTTGGTGCCTTGGTTCTGGTGAAGTGCATACATTTCGGTTTGTATGTCAGAGGTTCCTGGAAGAATAGTAAACAATAGTATTAAATTTTCACTGCCTCCAATCTCTCCAAATCTTGGTGTATCCAGTTGAACGTCTCATTTAAGAAATTTAAAAAGAGAGAAAAGAAAAGAGGAACAGGGAGAAAAGGGCAGGTAGGGAAAGGAAGAGGGAGAGAAAAAGGAAGGTTGTTTACCATCCCTAGGGTCTGTCTCCACTGGGGACACAGCTGCTTCTACATGGGGAAAGCCTGCCCACGTGCTTCACGTTGCCCTCCTTCCCAACCCTTCCCTTTCCTCATCCCTTCACCTATCCTCCTGCTCCCATTACATCCATTCCTCTACAGTCCACTAAACAGAAGCTAAATCAGATTAGGGGGAGGTAGAAATCCTAGAGACTCATGACCACAAACTGTTTATGAGATAACAATAGTTCCTTGATTTAGAGAGAGAGGGAGAGAGAGAGAGAGAGAGAGAGAGAGAGAGAGAGAGAGAGAGAGAGGAAGTGAGAGAGAGAGAGAGAACTAATTTATTATTGAACCAGGATAATAGTCAGGGTAGACCCTTGCTAAAAAATCTCCCTTTCCCCAACTCTGCCAAGAAGGTAAAAGCACAAAAACAGGAGAGGGCCTCTCCTGGCGCATTCTTGCCCTGTTTCATCCCTTCCCCTTAAAGTGTTTCATTCTACATCTTCTCCAAGACCCCACAGACTTTATCCCATTCTAAAACCACTGTCTCTTTCTAAGATCCTGAAAGTTATTTTCTTGGTACCTAGCCCATAAGAGAGACTTAGAAAACACTAGTTCCCTTTACTTTTATACTGTGAATTAGTACATTAGGTCACTTTCTCCTTAACTAAACAGTTACTTCCAATAAGAAAATTTTCATTTGAAAAACATAGAATTCTGGGAAAGACTTATTAACTGGGCAGAAATCAAATATTGGTCATGAATGACCTCATCGGTTAGCAGACATGTTTTGTTTGGCCTACAAAGTATTTTAACAAAATTGGAAAATATTCTTTAAAAGTGAGTAATCTGACTCAGTTTTTGTTTTGTTTTTTTAATTATAGATCTTCTAGAACAAGTATGTCATACTCCTGGCCTGAGGGCCACATGCAGCCCACAATGAATATTTTTGCGGCCCAGACAATATAACGGTATATAAGAAATGTTTTAATAAAAACTTCATAATGTAATTTTTATAATATCCTGTTATACATAATTATTAATAACGAGTTACAATGTTCACTAATGACTGATTACTATAATCGTGTTGCATTCATTTCCCTTACACTCCTTACACATAGGTGCACCATTTCCCCCCACTAATACTAGCAGCGAGTATTTTAGCAGCCTATTACCACATCATTAGTGTTGAACTGACTCTTTTGGTGTGCTCAACAGGAAATATTTTGCTTTCATAGAACAAGAAAAATAGTTTTATTTGCATTATGATTATTAATTTGTGCAGCTATTCAGTGTCTGGTAAGTTAATGTTCAATAAAAAATATTTATTTTTATTAAAATGTTCTATTATTTTATGTTAACGATTACTCATTTGTTTCAACCCTTTGTATTCAGCATGTCTCTATCGAAATAAACCTAGATTTCTATGAAAAATGCAGCTTTTGTGTTTTTGCGGCCCACATAAACTTAAACCTTGTTTATTTGGCCCGTGTTAGCCTTTGAGTTTGACATGCTTGTCCCGCAGACCGGATCCGGCCCGTTTGAAATGAATAAAACTATTGAAAAAAAAAAACCGTACCCTTTTATGTAATGATGTTTACTTTGAATTTATATTAGTTCACGCAAACACTCCATCCATGCTTTTGTTCCGGCCTTCCGGTCCAGTTTAAGAACCCATTGTGGCCCTCGAGTCAAAAAGTTTGCCCACCCCTGTAGAGGGTCTCCTCTTGCACAAACCCACTGTTTTCTTTAGACTGCCCATGGCTCTTGGTTTGCCAGAGACCCCACCACATATTGCCTTATACTCAGGCTGCTTCACTCATTTGGTTC